TCACACACTCGGCATAGACAAGTTAAATTTTAGCCCGAGCTGTAGAAATTCACCCCTGGTGAAAGTGTCATGAACTTTCTAGGCTTGCAGTAGCGAAAACTTTTAGACCAGTCTTGCACTTGACATTTGAGCCCTGATAAAAGGCTTATCTTTTGAGTAACTCAAAAGGCATTATCCTATTCAAATTCTACAAATCTGAAAACGTAGGTATATCTTATTGTCTTCAATGCATTTATTTATCCCACGTTGTTTTTTTATATAACTCTTACATTGTTTTGGACGTCTAGTAGTAGACGAATAGAATATGATATAAGTATGATCCCATTGTATATAATTCTTTATTATCTCGGTTTAATCTTTCCTTGCCTTTAATCTGAATTGTGTCATGTGTTATATTGTATACAAGTAAAGGAACAATTGACTTTTTCATGGCTGTAGGAATACTACAATTCCAAGTTTAATACATAAACCCATCAGAGAATACAGGCATTGAATGTTCACTAAACAGGGAATTGTCAGAAATTGATGAGCCTGAAACGGAAACATTCTCTAATTCTCTCAGCAATATAAGTTTAAAATGTGAAGTTCCCCCTGGTATATTTTGCAATAGTCAGGCAAAACGTTGTAGCATTGTTTGTCTTAGAGTCTATTTGTAGTATATGTTTAGTAGATGAAAAGATGAAAACATGTTAAGTAGATAGAGACATATAAGAAATGAATCTATTTTCAAGGAGAAGGGGGAAACCTGTCTCCTAGAACTCATTTTTATGCTAAGTTTGTATTAATGGATCACATGAGAAAATAACATTTCTGAAGGTAAATGGGAAAATACTAGATTAAAATGGAAACCCCAAATATACCGTATTTCCTTTTAAGTCTGAGGCATTCTTCTTTAACTAAGGCATATAAATACATGATGTAACCCACACAGGTTTTAAAGATGCCAACCATTTAAACGTTATGGGTAATGTCATAAACAGAGAAATATGTGACTCATCAGTCTGCTACTCCTTCCATATTCCTTTTAGTCTAATAAAATTACCTGGGATCATCCCAGCCGCCCATAAAATTGTGTTTAAATTAGAAAATAGTTCTGCATTAAATACACCCAAAAGCTTGTATCTGACACACATTGATATGTTTGTCTTCTTTCATTCGATCAAGATCTTGATTAAAATGAATTATTTGGCATAATTGTTACTCAAAGCCATTATCAGAGTTTTCCTAGCCACAAAGCTGGTTGTTATGGTCATACATGGCTTCGGTATTTGTTAGCGTTCTCCTATATCCCTGTACCACATACTGCCACTGTGTTGAAAAAAGAGCAGGTGCCGTCATTGATAACCCCATCACTCTTTAACACAGACAGATGTTGCTTTTTATTGCATTTGTTCTATGGAGTAATATCTACTCTTCTAAAACAAAAGTCAGACATTATTTTGTCATTAGCATTTTCTTCTCTCTGACGTGTGTAACATTTGATTGAAGCTAGGCATACAAAGAGCGAGCAGGTGATTAATATATGTGTGATGCATAAAAAATGGTCAAGAATTAACAAAGAAGGAGAATTAATGAAGAAGGGTAAATGAAAACTGTGCTGGGCAAGTTGTTGACAATTACTTGGAATTAATGGCCCAAGTTGATAGTAGGACAGTTAGCACTAAGGAAAACTACAGCACTGGATTTTTGCTTGGGCTCAGATAATGCCGTTAGTGTACAAATATAGGAACCCCTTGTGCAACTGAGTTCTTCTCTTTTCCAAATGAAACATTAACAATTTTTACTTACCCAGATGCCTTAAATTATGATTTAAAAATTTTGGAAAGATTCCACCTATTTTAAAATCTACAAACAAAAAAAGAAACAAGAAGTAAAAAGCTGCAATTTATCAATTTAGATATATATATTTTAAAATTAAAAACAACAAGTTGATTAATGTTGGAATGTTCAATCTTATTTTGAGCAAAAAAACAAACGCTATCTCTAATAAATGATTCCTTGTCCAAGGTAGCTCTGCATTCCAATGTGAAATCATGCAAACGAAAGCTAAATCAGTAGCCAAAATATTGTGATATGTAATCTGTTAAACTCTGTAGTGTCAGGATTATAGTTGATCCAGCTAGCAGAATTGTATTACACCTAAAAACTAAGGATAATGTCTAACCGGACCTTAGAATGGCCGCACTTAACATACCCAAGAATAGTCAAAATACTCGCCGAGGTCAGAACACAGAATGAGTCGCAACGATGAGGAAAGCCAGAAGTTCTGCGTGTTGGGTATCAGCTATTCCTGACATTAGCACATTGGGAAATTATTGCTAAGTGTATTGTTTTCTGTTTTGCTTTTGATACCCTAAAGGGATATAATGAAAATCCCTTAAATACTAAGAATGGCTACTAAAGGCCAGGCGACTAAAAGGGATAAAAGAGAGAATAAATTAGATAAGAGTTTACCTGGATTTTTCTCCCCATTAGCTCAGAAAGAGAAATCTATAATAGTAAATACTGATAAGGCTGAACAGAAATTACTAGAGGTCTCCCAAGATTCTGAAGACTCATATGTATCCCAAGCTTTTTTTAAAGATTGCAAACAGTCAATGGTGAAAACCCTGAAAGACGAAATTTATCAAGTGCTACATCAAACTATACCCATTTCTAATGAATCGATGGCACAGATTACCTAAACCAAGGGGTATCCCAGAAAGCACTCCTAGGGATGTAATAGTTAACTTTTTCTCTTTTCAAATAATACTGAGAAAAAACAATGAGAAAAGAAAGAGGTAGGATAAAAGGATATGAGGCGATTTAAGGTAAAAGGAGATATAACAAAGTTTTAAGGCACATATGCCATATGAACACAACAAATGATATTTGTTAATATAAAGACAAGTATACACACGAGTACTAGAGCCGATAAAATCAATAGAGGGGTTTAAGGGATATGATACTTTAGGAGTAAGGTTAGACACATAATTGGACAGAAATACAAAGATCTTATTCATTCCTAATCCATTTATATACTAGCACCATTTTTACCTTCCACACTTTTAAGGATAACATTTTAATTCAACTCTCCCAAATTAAAAGGTAGGGAAGTAATAAAGGATATGATGTATTATAAAGTTATAATAAAATCAAGACACAGAAGTTTAAGGGATAGAAGAGAAAAAAGAAAGGGAAAGGGGAAGTAATTATTATTATTATTATTTTTTAATTCTCTCCTCTCTATCTCCGGCCCTACGGGTATTATGGGGGCATTAACATTATACATGTAAAATTAATTTACTGATCAATATGGATCAGTCATCCTCTTTATATTTCTTTCAGAGATATAGAGTTTGCATGATGTATGTCACGCAAAACTAGATCTCAGTAAGAATTTTACCAGATCCTTGTTTTGAAAGAACGGAATATGAGGCCCTGACAGGTCCTTAATGCAACAATGTGAAAATTATTGATAATTATGTTTGTATTGTATGCTGTCTGTGTAGTAGCAGAGAGTGGAACCTAAACGAGGGGGAACATGGTTAAATTGATATCGGTAAATGTGCAGGGTCTCAATTCACCCATTAAGAGATCAACATTCTCCAGGAAACTCACTGGCAATTGATGGATAAACGACAATGGAATCCAAATGGATTCCCTTTGGTAGTCCATGCCTCAAGAACAGAATAAAAAGAAAGGTGGAGTAGCCATATTGTTCTCTAATACTATCCAAGTAGAGATCCTGTATCAATTCTTGGATAAAGATGGATGATATATGATACTGGTGACTAAAATAAATATTATTGAGTATACCGGGGTAAACTTATACCTTCCAAATGTCCCCCAATCACTGAAATAATTTTTTTTTTTAGAAAAAGTAGATGAGGTGAAGGAAGGTATTCTTGTTATAGCAGGGGATTACAATTCAATACTAGATTCAATTTAGGATAAAAAAAATCCCAGCAGGAGCTATTATTAGCAGAAATATGTCAAAACAAGCAAAATCTCTAACAAATACGCTTAATTTAAATAATCTCTTTGATATCTGGAGGGTGTTCCATCCCGATGATAGGGAATTTACTCATCTCTACAGGGTCCATCACTCTCTTTTGAGAATAGACATAATATGGGGTAACCATATTTATTTATTTATTTATTTATAAAATATTTTACCAGGAAAGATACATTGAGATTCCTCTCATTTTCAAGTATGTTAATAGAAAAGGCCAAAATATAGACATCATTGATAATGTATGGTCTGACCACAGTATGTTGGAAATGGAGCTGACTGGTGATTATCCTTCCTTTAATAGAACAACCTGGAGACTGAAGGACTCCTTATTTGAAAATCAAGTAAACTGTGAACATATTGAACATAAAATAGAAGATTTTGCTTTGGAAAATAATATGTCAAATACTACTTCGGTCATTTGTTGGTGTGCTTTTAAGGTTGTGACTCGTGGCCTTATAAAATTGCAAAGTCGATTAAAGAAGCAAGCCGGGCAACCGCTATCATACTTATATCAAAATCACAATCAACTGAGCAGAGAGTATTAAATAAACTTATCACAGCACACTCTAGATAAACTTACTAAAAATAAAGCTTTAATTAGGGATACAATTACAGAAAGAATAACAGCAAATATTGAAAAATGAAAATAAACAATTATTATAGAGGAAATAGGGCAGATAAAATGCTTACTAGAAAACTGAAGAAAAAACAAACAGATAATATAGTAAATAGATTAATAATCAACTTAAGGGCATATGTTAATCCTGAAGAAATTGGGCAAGCCTTTAATGACTAATATTTTAAACTCTATAATATAGAATCCAAACCCGGAATATCATTGATAGAGAAGTATCTCTCTAAGACTTCTCTCCCTGCCCTTAAAATTTTTCAAACAGATCAACTAAATAGACCTATTACTAGAGATGTCGCGAACCGTTCGCGAACTTCCCGCGAACGGCTCGCCACGGTTCGCCACGAACCGTTCGTGACGAGCTCCAGTCAGCTGACACATCCCGGCCAATCTCCAGCAGACCCTCCCTCCCAGACCCTCCCACCTCCTGGACAGCATCCATGTTGAAACTCAACATGGATGCTGTCCAGGAGGTGGGAGGGTCTGGGAGGGAGGGTCTGCTGGAGATTGGCTGGGATGTGTCAGCTGACCGGAGCTCACCGCGAACGGTTCGTGGCGAACCGTGGCGAGCCGTTCGTGGGAAGTTCGTGAACGGTTCGCGACATCTCTACCTATTACTAAGGAGGAGATAGAAAGATCTATATGTGACTTACAAAAATACAAGTCCCCAGGGCCCGATGGCTTTTCCAATTTTTTTTTTTTTAAGACATATGCTTCTAGGAGTACAGAGATACTGATTAAGGTGTTCAATTATATATTAGAGGGTGGTAAATTCCCGGAAGAGATGACAAGAGTAAACATTATCCCAATATTAAAGCAAGACTCCAGCAGAGATCACTAACTATCGCCCAATATCACTGATCAATGTTGATATGAAAATATATGCAACAGTGCTCTCTGCTAGATTGAAAACCATCATTGGAGATTCCAGGTTTTGTTCCGGGAAGAACGTCATCATCAAATTTTAGAAGGATTATTGATATCCTGGATTGTGTGAATAAGAGGAGGATTCCCCACCTGACACTGTCATTGGATGCAGAAAAGGCCTTTGACAGAGTCGGGTGCGATCTCCTGGCCTCGGTCCTGGAGAGGTTTTGTATAACAGGGAAATTTTTACAAGCAATAATGGCTCTATATGATAACCCTACAACTAGAATAACAGGCCCCAATATCTGTTCCTCCTCTTTTGGTCCTACTAACGGAACTAGGCAGGGGTGTCCCCTTTCCCCTCTTCTTTTCATTTTGTCTATAACCATTGGCAGCTAATATCTGAAACTGTAATAATATAAAGGGTCTTAAGATGAAAAAAACAGAGGCTAAAATAAATCTCTATGTTGACGAAATCTTAATTACTATAACATCACCAAAGGAAACAATGTCAGCTTTAATGAGGGAAATAGAAGAATACAATATAGTGTCTAATTTTAAGCTAAACACCAATAAATCTGTAATTATGGCTTCTAATGTTACAAAACCAGAAACAGATCAAATCCAAAAAAAATTTAAATTTATTTGGGCAAAACAGAGTATGGAATACTTAGGTCTTACGGTGGTTGGAGAGGTCCAAAGGACCCTGGAGTTGAATTTTTTTAAAACTTCTAAGACAAAGTAATAAAATGCTAAAAGAATGGAGAATGTATGAAATATCATGGTGGGGAAGAGTAAACACTATTTGAAATGGTCTACCAAAATGGTCTTACCTTTTTCAGATGATTCCCTTGAAGGTATCATCTCCATGGATAACAATGATCCAGAGAATCTACGATGATTTCATCTGGAAAGGTAGAACAACGAGAATAAGTAGAAAAAGGTTAACATTGAAAACTAAAAAAGGTGGAATCAACATGCCTCTAGTTGGAGATCTTTACAGAGCTTATATTTTACACATATATACAGATCTCAATCACAAAACAATAAGAAAGAATTCTGGTGTCAAATCGAATGTGATATGAGTAATATGAATAATTGGGAAACAGCTAGATGGAATATTGCAGATCCTTATAATTTAAAAAAGTTGGAAAAATAATCTTATTGTAAATAATCTAATGGAACAGTTGGAAAGATTAAAGAAAAAAATGAATTTAGAACAAATATTTCTTAATTTCTTAAAAATGTAGATAGTTGAAGCAAATATAGAAAATAGCAGGAAATTGGATAACCTATTTACTTCTACTTATGCTCTCCACCCCTCCCGTGGTATGGGCTGCCAAAGGTAGATCTCCAGAGACTTTTGTCCTGGGCCATTCTTTCTAGTTAACTCCAGGTGTAGCCCACCCTTGTGATGACTCGAGGTCGCGTCGCCAGGTGTTTCTTGGACGGCCTTTCTTCCTCTTTCCTTGGGGGTTCCACCTGAGAGCCTGTCTGGTGATGTTGGTTGGCGGTTTGCATAGGGTATGCCCTACCCAGCCCCATATTCTCTTCAAGATTTCTGCCTCTACTGAAAGTTGGCAGGTCCTTTCACATAGGTTGGTGTTACTGATGGTGTTTAGCCAGTGAGTGTTGAGAATCCTTCTGAGACAGCTGTTGATGAGTGTCTGGATTCTTCTATTGGTGGTTTTGATTGTTCTCAAGGTTTCAGCCCTGTACAGCAGTACTGACTTCACATTGAAGTTGAACAGTCAGATGGTGACTTGGTGCTCAAGTAAGCTCTCTGGAAGCCCAGATGTTCTTGAACTGGATGATGGCAACTCTTGCTTTGCCGATCCTTGCCTCGACATCTGCATCTGTTCCACCTTGCTGGCCGATGATCCTGCCCAGGTAGGTGAAGAACTGTACTTCTTCCAGGGGACTTCCATTCAGGGTGATTGTGTTAATGTTGCTGAAGTTGGTCTTAAGGATCTTGGTCTTCTACTTGAGGATGATGAGTCCAACTTGTGCTGTTGTAGCTGCCAACACACTGATTTTCTCTTGCATCTGCTGCTGGATGTGGGAGAGAAGTGTGAGGTCATCGGCAAAGTCCAAGTCATCCAGTTGACTCCACAAGGTCCACTGGATTCCATTTTTGTGTTCGCTGGTGGATGTCTTCATGATCCAGTCAATGGCAATGAGGAAGAGGAACGGGGATAACAAGCATGCTTGTCAGACTCCAGTCTTCACCTGGAAGTTGTTGGTAAGCTGTCCTGCGTGGATCACTCTGCAGGTCATTCTCTCGTATGAGCTCTTGATCAGGTTGACCACCATGGCTGTGATGCCGTAATGCCGGAGGAGCTTCCATAGGACGTCTCGATCCACACTGTCAAACTCCTTCTAATAGTCGACGAAGTTAATGTACAGCGATGAGTTCCACTCAAAGGACTGCTCGACTATGATGTGCAGTGTTGCAATCTGTTCCATGCATGATCGATTCTGCCGGAAACCTGTTTGTTCATCTCGTAGTTATGGATCGACAAGGTCCTTCATCTGCTGTAGGAGGATCCGGTTGAAGACCTTGCTTGGCACTGACAGGAGTGTGATACCTCTGTAGTTGTTACAGTTGCTGAGGTCAACCTTATTTGGAAGCTTTATTAGATAACCCTCCTTCCAGTCAGTCGGTATCTCTTCTTCCTCCCAGATCTGATGATTTCAGGTCTGCTTTTAGGGCCTCTGCTGGTATGTCATCAGGTCCAGCTGCCTTCCCATTCTTCATAAGGTGATGGCCTTCCTGATCTCTTCTCTTGTTGGCTTGCTGCAGTTGATGGGGAGATCTTCGTTGGCTGGGTTGATGTCTCGTGGATTTAGTGGTGCTGGTCTATTCAGGAGCTCCTTAAAGTGTTCAGACAATCTATTCATCTGCTGCGCTAGTATAGTGATCACCTTTACCTCCTTGTCCTTGACGGTTCGTTCTGGCGTGCTGTACTTCCCAGACAGTTTCTTAGTCGTGTTGTACAGCTGTTTCATGTTGCCGTTGTATGCTGCCTGTTCTGCTTCAGCTGCCAGTCCATCTATGTAGTCTTTCTTGTCCTTCCTAATGCTCTTCTTCACTGCTCTGTGGACTTCTGCGTATTCCACTTGGGCATTGGCTTTTTCTACCCTAGTCCTGCTGTTGTTTACTGCCACCTTCTTCTGTTTTCTCTCTTCTATCTTGCCCAAGGTCTCAGGTGTGATCCAATCTTTGTGGTGATGTTTCTTTGCTCCGACCACTTCTTGACAGGCTGTTCTCAGTGTATCTTTTATTGTCTGCCAGCTGGCCTGTACACCGATTCTTTCCCCTTTCTCGTGCAGCTCATGTAACACCTCAAACTTGTTCTTCAAACTTGTTCTTCAACTGACATCATACTTCACTCTACACTGTGTTGTTTCCATCCAGTTTTTTTTTAACTTCAGCTGCATGCTGGCTACTACTAGGTGGTGGTTGGATGCCACATCTGCTCGTCTTCTAACTATAACGTCCTGCAGGGATCTTCTAAAAATCTTGCTAATGCAGATATGGTCAATCTGGTTCTCTGTCACACTGTTTTTGTGCATCCGCTTGTGATGAAAGATGCTACCTCCAATGACCAGGTTGTTGAGTGCAAACAATTCCACAAATCTCTCCCCATTATCGTTCATCACTCACAGTCCATGTATCCCCATGACTTGTTCATATCCTGTATTGTCGGGTCCAATCCTCCCACAAGGATGAGGATGTCTCTGGCTCGGAATGTCTCTACGATTTTCTGCAGTCTATTGTAAAACTCGTCCTTGTCTTCTGTATCAGAATCATTGGTTGAAGTGTAACTCTGGATGATGTTGAGCTTAACCTTCTTCTGCTTGGTTCTAAAGGATGCTGTGATTATTCTGGGGCTGTGCGCCTCCCATCCAATCAGTGCCCTTTGTGCTTGCTTGGACAACATAAAACCTACTCCTTGCATGTGGGTTGCATCACTCTCTTACTGCCTCGAGTACAGCAACAGCTCTCCTGTCATAAGTCTCCTCTGTCCTGCTTGTGTCCATTTGGTTTCGCTGATGCCCAGTATGATCAGGTTGTTCTTCTTGATCTCGGCAGATACCTGCTTACTCTTGCCTGCCTCGTACATGGATGTAACATTTCATGTGCCAATGTGGGTTCTCCCGGTCGAAAGAAGGGTAATTGGCTTGGTGGCTTCCTTTCAGCTTTCACCACCTATCGTCATGCGTCTCCGAATTGTCTGAGGTCCTCCACCTTCCAGGAAATGAGTCTCTGTTTCTCTTTTTGGCATTTCTGTAGCGGTTGAGGTTTTTCTAGGGTAAGGTTGCTAGCCTCATGCCCAACCCTCCTCCTTTTTCATCCAGACTTGGGACCGGCAATGGCTGAGTTATTAAATTGCATAAGACATGGTATTAAAAATATAAACTAACATATGGATGGTATTAATATTAAACCATTTCCTCTATTACAAGAAGAATTTTCTCTTCCAAACAATGAGCTATTCTCATATCTGAGAATTAAAATTTGTATGGATATTTACAAGATTGATTTGCCATCAGAGTATTGCTCCAGGTTATCTAGCTTATTAAGTGGAGATATTGTAAATAGAATAGAAAATATGTGACAATATGTTCGGAATTGAACTAATAGTGGTGAGTGCTAATTTAAATAATAGCTTACCCCAAAAGGGTAAAGGAACAGTAGTAATCTGGTCCAAGTGATTACTGGTAACTTGAAAAATCAGTGTTCCAATCACATGGACTCTTAGTACATCAGTAATCTTCTTCTTAGACACATATGTGGAAAAAAAAAAAGGGAATACAACCAACTTTGGTTCATTAACTTTTAGATGTGAGAGTGAGGTATAACACACTATTTACTTCTCACCTTCTTAGGTACCGTAGATGTGGCACCTAGTGTAACAGCATGTGTATCTATTGAAGGAGATACAACCCTTCTTTAAGCAGCAGTGATGTGGCAGTGGTGGCAGCAGCAATTTGGATATCCATAGGACATCGTTTGAAAGTGTAAAATACAATTTATTTGATATAAAAAATAATAAACATACACTGTAAAAACATCCTTGTAGTAAATAGTCCAAAGGCCAAAATCCAAGATGTGTTTCACCGGTTCTATCTGGCTTTTTCAATCAGTATTTCCATTGCTGCTGCTGTCCGTGTTTAAGTGCCCCTCCCAATCTTCTCATTGGTTGAGCATCGCTTTTGATACTGCCAAGCTGAGCTGAGTGTGCATTCACTCAGCTGATGCTCTAGCCTGCATTAGTATTGTCTGACTTCAAATCGTATGGAGTCAGACCGAACTTCTGAGTTTGTTCAGCCGCTTTTGTCATTTCCTTTCTGAATATTGATGAAATAGGAGGTGTTCTTTTTACCAGTCTATTCCAGAATTGTCCATTTTTGTTACTGGTGACAAAGTCCCAATATTTATGCATATAAAATGCTCATAAGACAAATAAATCTTTACAAATATGCTAATAAGAGGAACATAAATATGTATACAGACTAATACAAAAAAATGCAATCATTGTATAAAATTGGTATATTGATAAACTATTTTATAAAAAATTACGAAGTTCAAAGTCTGTATGGTTGCATGGTATTCAAATTAAAAATCCACTGCATCTCCATTTGACCAATTTTTTTTTACCAAGTCACCTTCTCTCCAACTCATATTATTTTTCTGAATACCCCAAAACTGCATGTGGCTAAGGTCACTATTATGGTGTAGCTTAAAATGTTTCTGAATTCTTATTCGTAGTGCCCTAGTTGTTCTGCCGATATAGGCTAAACCACATGGGTATTTAATAATATATATTATATGGAGTTACAAGTGATCAATTGTTTGATTTTAGAATTTTTTTTGGTTTTTTTTGTGGATGATTAAATTATTTTATTAATCTTTTTCTACTGTTTGTATTCTTGCATGCTCCACATAAGCCACAGCCATAGAAACCGTTTGCTTCATTAAAGGAATAGTTTTTTTGTGGCTTTGGGCGGTATGTGATTACGCACTAGATTTCTTCTTAGGTTTTGTGCCCCTCTAATTGTGATGATCGGGCTCTCTGGGAGTATGCTGTTAAGGATAATGTCATTCTTAAGAATAGGCCAGTATTTATTTATAATTCTTTTCAATTGTTTATTGTTACAATTAAAATCACAAATAAAGTTAAGGTGCTGAAAGTTTTTGTCTTTTGTTTTTTCTTTATATTGCATTAAATCGCCCATATCCTTGCTTTTTACTTCATCATAGGGCGTACTTAATAACTCTTTTTTTATATCCTTTTTCTTTAAAATCCTGTATAATTTTATTAGCTTGTTCTTGAAACTTAATATCATCCGTACAGTTGTGTATTACACGTAGCAGTTGTGCCTTAGATGGTTTCAACAGCCATGGTGAGAAGTGGCAACTTTTCTCCCCTATGTAGCTGTTGACGTCAACCTTTTTGAAGAAAGTGCATGTTTTCAAGATATTGTCTTCTACATAAATATTGAGATCCAGAAAGTCTACGGATTGTTTGCTAAAATTGCTGGTCAATGCAATATCCCAGTCATTGGAATTCAGATGAGTTACAAAGGGGAGACATTTCGTCTCCCTTCCATATAAAAAAGATATCATCAATATATTGGCGATAGGTCACGAGGTTTGTTATCCATTCATGGTCACTGTAGATGAATGTGTGCTCCCACAGTACCATGAACAGATTAGCATACCTGGGTGCAATCCTCATGCCCATCGCCGTACCACAGATTTGTAAAAAGAATTGTTCCCCAAACCAAAAATAATTGTTAGTTAAAATCCATTAAATTACTTCTATAATAAAATCTATTTGTGACTTTCAAAACTTGTTGGATTCCTCTAAAAAATATATTGTTGCTTGACAGCCTTTTTCTTGGGAAATGATCGTGTATAGTGAATTTACATCTGCTGTGACAATATAACATTCACTGTCCCATTTACAATTGTTTAAGACATGTAGGATACTTAGGGTGTCCTTTAGATAGCTTTGGCAAGTACATACAATGGGTTGTAGGCATTTATCTATGTACTGGGATAGTTTACTTGATATTGATCCTATCCCAGAAACAATAGGTCTTCCCGGTGGTTTGTCCTGAATTTTATGTATCTTGGGAAGATAGTAAAAGATGGGAATTTTGTAATGGGGCATACCCAAAAATGTATATTCTTTCTGATTCAGTATCCCTAGATATCTTAGTGTGATATCCTTGGTTGGGTCTTTATTTAAACTTACATTTTTAAATTTTGTTCCTTAGAATCAGGTTTTTTTATTTTTTCCATATCGTTCATTACTATCTTCTCAAATTTAGTCATTTCATCTGAGATGCAGCATCATGGGAAGAAGGTTGAACTCTCTTTTAACTCTATATGTATGATACCGGTGGACTCTGCTGGTCCTTCAGGTCTAATCATTGGTTGTTTGAGGAAAATAATTTGAGACAGTTTCCTGTTTTCTGTTTTTGCAAGTATGCATCTAGTTGCAGTTTGAACATTTGTATGGACTCTGATAAGACCACTTCTTCAGGCAAGAATTCCACATCCTTATTGTTCTTACATTAAAAAACTCTTCTTTGCCTTAGACAAAATCTTCTTTCTTCCAGTCTAAACGCATGACCTTGTGTCCTATGTAAAGTATAGTTTGTGAATGGATTTCCACAAAATGTTTGTACTGGCCCAGAATATTTGATATAAAAAATAATAAACATACACTGTAAAAACATCCTTGTAGTGAATAGTCCAAAGTCCAAAATCTGAGATGTGTTTCACCGGTTCTATCTGAGGAGACATTTTTCTAAACTAAAGAGGTTTAAATTTGTTAACCTTTCTTCATAGCTGATATGTTCCATTCCTTTTATTAATTTTGTAGCCCATCTCTGCACTTTTTTCTAGTGCCATAATATCCTTCTTTAGAACAGGTGACCAAAATTGCACAGCAAATTCAAGATGTGGTCTTACCAGTGATTTATAAAGAGGCAAAATTATATTCTCATCCAGAGAATTAATGACCTTTTTCATGCATTACAATACCTTACAGGCCTTATACATTGTTGCATAGTTTGTTGTCTATAACAATTCCCAAGTCCCTTATGTGTGTGGTTATCGCTAATGTGCTTCCATTAAGGGTATTAGTTGCTTGTGCATTCTTTGCACCGAAGTGCATAACTTTGCATTTTTTTACATTAAATTTCATCTGCCATTTGAGTGACCAATCCCCCAGTCTATCTAAATCCCTCTTAATATCTTGCTCACATTGTATTACTTTACAGAGTTTTGTGTCATCTGCAAATACTGAAACATGACTTTCAATTATTTTTTCAAGATCATTTATAAACATGTTAAATAGAAGGGGTCCCAGAACAGAACCCCGAGGGACACCACTTGTCACCTCTGTCCAGCTTGTAAATTTACCATTAATGACAACTCTTTGTACTCTGTTTTTAAGCCAATGTTCTACCCAAGAACAAGAATTTTCATCTAGACCAATTTCTTTGAGTTTGAACACTAATCTGTTGTGTGGAACAGTATCAATTGCCTTGGCAAAATCCAAATAGATCACATCCACTGCAACACCCTGATCTATACTTCTTTGTAGAACGCAATGAAGTTAGTTTGACATGACCTGTGCTTCATAAAACCATGCTGATTTTTGCTGATAACCATGCTGATTTTTGCTGTTAAAATTGATAACGTGTAAACAGTGCTTTATTGGAGGAAACAAGGAAACTCAACTGAAAGCAACAAACAGCAGAAGGAGAATAGACAGTGATAAATATTAATGTATTATTATTTACGATAAAACAAGATTAAAAACACACAGAATAAATATGTGAAGTCAAATGCATGCATGGTACATAACACACATCGGTGGCTGTTTCATAAACAGTCAATAGTACACAGAAAAACCAAAGG